AAAGAGAGCTCCCAGGGTTCTGGCTTCCTGAGGGTGCTACCTATGCATGCCCGGAGAAGTCCTCGCACGGCTGAGCCAGGGTGCCGAAGGGAAGCTCACATTGAAGTGATGCTGCTATTCAATTAGGTGCCTAACGATTTAGACCAGCGGTTCTCAACCTGTGGGTCGCGACCCCTTTGGGGATTGAACTACCCTTTCACAGGGGTCGCCTAAGGAGTCACATATATAATTACATATTGTTTTTGTGATTAATCACTATGCTTTCATTATGTTCAATTTGTAACAATGAAAATACATCCTGCATTTCAGATATTTACATTACAATTCATAACAGTAGCAAAATTACAGTGATGAAGTAGCAACGAAAATAGTTTTATGGTTGGGGGTCACCACAGCATGAGGAACTGTATTAAAGGGTCGTGGCATTAGGAAGGTTGAGAATCACTGATTTAGACCCTTGACAGGTACCACCTCACAGAATCTCCTCAATGGCAAACATTCCTAAGCCTCAGAACTTCAAGCAGAATTCTGTATATCACAATTCTTGCACAACCAGATAATTTTCATTTTAATTAGTTCTTGATAACAGGACCTGACTTATATCCAGTCTTTGCCAGAAATCCAAAGTAACTCCCCCAGGGTGGGGGTCTGTAACTGTCATGTGGGGAAGACTCACTCAGGAACAACTAACAAAAAGTGTAGCTCGGTCCTTCTACATCAAGCATGTCAAACTCACTGCTTACAGGCCGCATGCCTCATTTATTTGGCCCGTGTTAGCCTTTGAGTTTGACATGCTTGTTCTACATGGAGACATGAGTTTCTATAGCTTTTATCCCTCTTTTGAAGTTTTTCCTATTACACTTTTTCTTCCTTTTTAAAAAATGATGAATAGAAAAGTTATTGACCTTTGTTTGAAGTGGTAATTGGGGAATCTCAGAGATGAAAGAAACCATACTTTAGAGGCTACCGTGAGCATCTGATGATAAAACACTAACACTAATTGAGTCTCTATTTTTCTTTTTCTTTTTTTACTAATGGTAAGGGCCTGGGGGGCAGGGGTGTGCTCCCGGGAGGGAGAGAACCCATTATTCTTTTGAATTATAAGACTATTCCTTAAAAGAGGATGCAGTGATTACTTTCATGGTGTCGGCGTGAATATTTCTTTACTTGTATCTGTATGTAAATTCTGCCATATGATATTCACAGTCGTTTGAAGGTGTAGTAGTAAGTCTAACTGTTTGTATTGGTCTTTTCCCCTGATATCTACATTTTTGATGCCAGAGAACAGGAATGTAAGTTGTTATGTTTAAAAAAAATTAAACATCTCTGATCTCTTATTTTTAGACACACTCCTTAGGATTCATTTTCATTGCTGTTGGTAGAAAATGACCTGCACTCCCTTTCTAAAACCCTTGTATTGGTATGACAGAAGAAAACTGTGTGTTGTTACTCAGCCTGTAGGTTACTATGTCTTGTTCTTACTTGTCCAAAGAAATTCAGTGGTTAAGCAGCTATGTAAATCATCAGGCTGGGGACGGGCTACGTCGTCTTTGTTATAATTTACTCTCAGTGCAGGTACTTCTTATCTGTCATGGTATCTGCACGCACCAGTAGCCCTCTCGGGCAGTGGTCACTTGGACCCTCTGTCTCAGCTGTGCTGGCTGGACCTCTACCAGCGGTCTGAGCGAGTGGCCTGTGGTGCTGTGCTTCTCCAGCGGTGGCATTAACAAGTAATGAGGCCTGCGAACCCAGGGAGAGCTAGAGAAGCAAAAGGCAGGGGAAAGTCTTCAAAGTGGAAAGTTAAGCCCTGAATAATTGAATCGCCACCCCTGGAATAGATCATTATGCTTGTAGCCATAAATAGCAAGCTTGGGGTTATTTGGCTGCTTTTTGACATATATAAAAGGGAAAGCAGTAAAAGGATTCCTTATAAATGGATTATTTTATTAATTTACATGACAAGTTATCTTATTGATGAAAATGTTACTTTTTAATTCTAAGGTAGGGCAGAGGTAAGTTTCCTTAAGACTAACTCAGTTAAGAGAAACCGTTTCCTTTCTTGTTCCTAAAATACTTAAATAATTTTAGAATTCCTTTTAAAAATATATATTTTATTGATTTTTTTACAAAGAGGAAGGGAGAGGGTTAGAGAGTTAGAAACATTGCTGAGAGAGAAATATCGACCAGCTGCCTCCTGCCCACCCCCTACTGGGGATGTGCCTGCAACCAAGGTACATGCCCTTGACTGGAATCGAACCTGGGACCCTTCAAATCTGCAGGCCGACGCTCTATCCTGAGCCAAACCGGTTAGGGCTAGAATTCCTTTTTTCGTGACTTGAAGAACTTTCATTTGGAAGGAAAATTTAATTCTAAGATTTAAAATTCCCAAAAGTTATGTTTTTCTCCTAAATGTAATAATATTGGCAAGCACTGTAAAGTAAGACATGAGGTGTTTTTGTTTTGTTTTTGAGGTGTTTGATTTCTGTTAAACTATTAAACTATGCCACAAGTAAATGGTAATTGCCTGGAAATTGGAGCCAGCTCAGGCCTCTTTCTTCCTACACTCCACGGAGCTAAGGAATGTGCACTGACTTGCCAGATGAGTGACGTAGAAAGAAACTTCCACTCTGCTTGTGCATTTTCTTCCTGCGTTCTGGCAGGTATTATCATTTCCACTTGTCGGATGGAAATGTCGGGGCACAGAAAACCGTAAAGTCACTTGCCCAGAGAAACACAGCTAGCAAGAGGCAGGATCAGTGAGCCTCAGGGCTTGACTGTTGAGCAGCTTGCTCCTCGCCATGGCGTGTGCCATCTCCTGGAAGAGCCGGTGGGGGTTCTGGGAAGCTGTGCTAACTATCCAAGGACAGCAAGGTCCTTGACTTGGCAGATATCATAGAAACAGAAGAATAGCTGGAAAGTGTCCCCAAGTCAATGCTATAACATGGTATTAGCAAGAAACCATTTTTTATTTCTATCTATGTAGAATAAATACAAAGAAGACTTTGGGGTCTAGTATTATTTTGTAGTTGTTTATTTTTTCAAAATGTAATTGGTGTTTGAAGACCTTGAATTTGAACACCAGTGACTTAGATTTAATGACATGTGAGCCTTAGGATGCTCTTTTTAAAATTGAGATATATATTATTACTATAGGAATAAAAATTTTTCTGTAAAGCCATTATGTATGAATCACGTTAGCAGTGGCTAAGTTAGGCTTGTTTTTTCTTGATGAGCAAGAAGTGAAATATTTATCACTTTGTGTCTTCCTCTTGAGTCCTATACAATGGTAGCAACGTTCCCTTGAACAACACGGGTTTGAAATATATGGGTCCATTTATGCGTTCTTTTTTTAAAGTAAATATGTACAGTACTGTAAATGTGTTTTCCTTATAATTTTTTAAATATCCTTTCTTTAGCTTACCCTATAGGATTACAGAATATAATACAGTAGGTCCTTGGGTTACGTCAGAGATCCGCTTCTATGGCGCGATGTAACGCGATTTTCACCATAAGTCGGAACCACCTTCATAAGCACCTACGTCACTCACATGGAGCACATACACTGCAGTAATGAAGTGAAACAGTAAAAAAAAATTAAAAGAAAGATAACAATTCCTGACCTTTACTTGTGGTAAATAAATAATAAAAAACATAAAGCACATGTACATACGTCGAAATGATGGAACTTTTTAAAAAATAAATACTGTAAATGGGAGATGGCAACGTAACCACAAAATGACATATGTCGAGTCTGACGTAACCTGAATCCGACATAACCTGAGGACTGCCTGTATAATGCCTGGCTCGGGCTCCTCCCCGGTTGCCTGCTGCTTCATGCACTACTACATCCCTCAGGGGATGTCGGACTGCCAGTTTTGGCTAGATTCCTGCAGGCTAGGATCAGGCCAAAACCAGCAGTCCGACCTGAGGGCTCCCAGAATACGAGAGGGCGCAGGCCAGCCTGAGGGATGGGCGCCCCCCCCCCCAGTGCACTAATTTCATGCACGAGGCCTCTAGTATAATTTAATATATAATATATATGTTAATCGGCTATTTATGTTATTTGTCTTCAGGTAAACAGTGGGCTATTAGTGGTTAAGTAGTTTTGGGGGAGTCAGAATTTATATGCAGATTTTTAACTGTTCAGGGGGTCAGCACCCCTAACCCTCATGTTCAAGGATCAACTGTATTTGGCAGGCATTGTCCCGAGTAGTTGGTGTCAACTTGGATGTCTCCATTTCCTTCCTGTGTCCCATCTCCCTCTGGGATACGACACACATCCCTTCATTGACATTGCCACGGTCCGCATGCTGGCCTGCTCTCCTGCTTGATGTTCTAGAAAACTTCCCAGTTGGCCCCTGCTCGATCTCCATGACCTCGTTCATCTTAATAGGTCCCTAGCTTCCTCACTCCTAAGTGCAGATCTGAAAACATCTTACATGCTTGGAAACTGTTCCTGCAGACTTGGGGCACCTATAACCTAGCCATGACTCATGTATATTTTGTCTCACTAACGCTTCCTGGAGTGGTGCAGCCAACACCATCTTTCGCCTTTCCTCCCCAGAACACTCCCGATTTTGCTTATTCTCCCATTTTGTCACACCCTCCTTGTAAAAAGATTCTTCCTCCTTCTCTAGGCCCATTCAGACACCATCCATTTTAAGGAGCCTCTCTCCTCGCTCCCTCGTCCACACCTATGCTAGGTTCCTGTCACCTCAGTGGCTGTGTGCTGTCCTTATCAGTGGCTGTATTGTCACCACATTCTTGATGAAGCTCAGTAAATAAATGACCAGGGAGCCCAGTGCACTGCTTCCCGAGCTGGGGCCCTGGCATGTTTTCAAAAGCCTACAGGTGATTCTAAAGTGGACTGCATTCTTCCGGGTCTTATCTGCAGTTACCAGGGTGCACAAGTAGGTTTCATTACTGCCTACGCTAACAGAATCCTCCCCTTTCACACAGTGCTTCGCCACAGGGTTCTTGTGAGCTGCCTTTGTGTATTTAGAAAGAGACTCTCGATCAGAATCTTCATAAACTGAACTTTGTGCTTGTGTACCTGGATTTGCAAGGGTTTTTATTTCACAGATCATGACCTTACTCTCTTTTGATTTGTAATACAAAGTTGTCATTGAAAATAACCTGGTCAGAGTCAGCACTCAGCCCAAATTGAAAAGTCAGAGGAAAGAAATGCGCTTTGTAACCTCGGATTTGGATAAACGGTCTGTAAGGAGCCAGGAGCCTGGGGACAGGGATCCTAGCTGATGAATCTTTCTCAGCCCCCAAGTTTCTGGACTCTTTCAGTGCAGAGCGTGTTCAAGTCTTTCAGAGCAGGAATAGTAACAAGGTACAGACTGTACCAGTTCTCGAGTAGTGCCCCCCGCCCTCCTACCCCAAGGAGTTGATACGAAAAGGTGCCACTCGGTGGGGGAAATACAATTTTTTTTTTCCTATTTCAAGTGTGTGTGTGTATCTTTTTGTTTTTTTAATATATTTAATTGATTTTTTACAGAGAGAAAGGGAGAAGGATAGAGCTAGAAACATGGATGAGAGAGAAACATCGATCAGCTGCCTCCTGCACACCCCCTACTGGGGATGTGCCCGCAACCAAGGTACATGCCCTTGACCAGAATCGAACCTGGGACCCTTCAAGCCTGCTCTCTATCCACTGAGCCAAACGGGTTAGGACGTGTGTTTTTTTATAAGCCGATTTATCTCTGTATATCTTAAAACACTGATAGAGTTAAAATTTGATGTTATGCCTTTAGGGTTAAAAGTAAATGGTCTTGATCCCATCAAGTAGAACACTTTGCTGGCCGAGTGTTAATAAGACCGCTTACAATGACTTTCAAACATTTTTGACCCTGTCCCATAGGAATGTTTTTTTTTATGGCCCAGTACATACCACATATATTTGTGAATAATCGAAAAAAGTGTCACAGTTGCCCTCACCCTGTTGCACTGTTTTCTTTTCTGTGCTGGTTGCTCCCCACCAATGGGTTGCACCATCCATTTGAAAAACACTTGTCAGTCTGTGAGGTACTCGCGAAAGCCTCTTGGAGAGCGAGAAGACTTGAATTGGCAGACAGTAGAGCCAAAGGATCTTGAAAGAGACACATTATTTTTACCTTGGATGACAGGAGTCTATATCTGATACTTCAGGACCCCATCCTGGTTCTATGTGGGCCGTCTCTTATTAGTTTGAAGGTATCATTTCCCTCCTCAATGCAAGTGAATACAAATGAGGCTGTTGTCAAGGTTCTTAAGTCGCTCAGGGAGGCCAACAGTCTTTCTGAAATCCTATGGACAGACTCTATCCATCTATCTATATCAGTGGTTCCCAGCGTGGGGCACATGCCCCACAGGGGGGCAATTTGAGGATGAGTTATTAGTGAATTTTTTGCATTTCTTATGGTTTTAGGGACTTCATATACAGTATATAAATATATAGTGACATTTATGCATTGCAGTTCTCTATTATATGTTTTGAAACTTTATTTGCTAATTTTTTGTATCATTTCATATTATTTTTTAACAATTTCTTAGTAATTTCTTCCTCAGTACTTCAGCTGTCCTTTCGTTGTTTTATTTTTTTCTTTCATGGATGCCATGTTCGTTGGAAGCTTGTTTAGACCAAGCTAATGATCTTTTAGGCTTCCTCCACGTGAACAGGAGTTCACCTTTTGAATAATAAGAAACATGTCACGGGCAGGGGGGTGCCATCAGGATTTTAGAGATGTTCAGGTGGGGCATGGCCAAAAAAAGGTTGGGAACTACTGATCTGTATATTTAAGTCTTAAAATTAACTAAAGACCTCTATTTTGTAGCAATATTCTCACTCATGATCATTTTTCCCACAAAAGAAATCTCTTTTTGTAGAAGCTATAGAATATATAGTAAAAAAAAAAAAAAAATAGAAGGTCCAGATTCTAAATATTTTGGCATATATATCCTTTCAGACTATTTTTAGGATATATGTATATTTACATTAAAGAAAATCATTTTAAAACCAGCTGACATACTATATATACTGTTTTGTAACCTGTAAAAAAGATGTTGAAGGTTTCTATCTTGGTGTGTTTGTGTGTGTGTGTATGTATGTGTATATGTAATTTTTAATAGCTGAATACAATTTCATTGTTATGAATTATAATTCATGTATTGTACTTTATATACATACCAGAGGCCCAGTGCATGGGTTCGTTCAGGACGTGTCCGGCCCGTCTCAGTCCTGATTGGCGGGGCCAGGGAGGGACCGTGGGAGGGCTCCAAGGCATGTCCAGCCCATCTTGCCCAGTCCCAATCAGCTGGACCCCAGCAGCAAGCTAACCTACCGGTCGGAGTGTCTGCCCCCTGGTGGTCAGTGCATGTCATAGTGACTGGTCAAACAGTCAAACTAACATGGACACTTAGCATATTAGGCTTTTATTATATAGGATATTATAAATTAACCAATTTCTCTATTGTTATCCATTTTGGTTGTAGACTTTAGCTGTTTAAACAAGGCCACACTAAACATTTTTTTTAAAATATATTTTTATTAATTTCAAAGAGGAAGGGAGAGGGAGAGACGGATAGAAACATCAATGATGAGAGAGAATTATTGATTGGCTGCCCCCTGCATGCCCTACACCGGGGATCGAACCCGCGATCTGGGCATGTGCTCTGACCTGGAATTGAGCTGTGACCTCCTGGTTCATGGGTCGATGCTCAACCACTGAGCCATGCAGGCCAGGCACACTAAACATTTTTATATGTGTCTTTATAAAGTTACGTTACAAAAATTTTTAAATGGACTAGGAATTGCTAGTGTATTTGTGTCCCTCTCCCCCCTTTTAATGGTCATTTCTAACCTGTTTAAAGAACTTTTACCTTTTCTCAGAATAGTGTCACCTTTGCTGTTAAGTTGTGAAATAAATATAATTTGAAACAGAAACTTGACTTACTAGAAACTGATTCTAGTTCTTGCCTTAATTTTCAGACACTACCTGTAACGAAAAACAAAGAAAACAGACTAAGAGGAAACAAAGTTTTCTGCGCGGTGGGTTTCTTACCTAGTGTAGTACCTTACCTGCTTGTTAAATATTCATGGCCTTGTGAGGTGTACCAGCGGCAATTCTAGGTTGTTACACTCTAGGTCAGGAGAGGCTGCTATGGAAAGCACGTTTGTTTGTTTTTTATTATTATTTAAATTGGCTTTGACTTCTTAAGTCTTCAAGTAAATGTAATTGTTGCTGTTAACACTGCCATCTGATGCCACTCAGCCCATTTATGTTTTCATGAATTTTTTTTAATTGTGGAAAGAAAGCTAGGCTGTCTCCTACTACCTATAGGCAATAGGATATGTGACCTATGCTCAGTAGCTCCAGGTGACCCATGGACCATGACAGCTCTTGGTTTAAGCCTTATCAATGATGGATGCATTTGGTGAACATGCTTTCTTTGCTGTTTCAGGCATGTTTATATACAGGTATATTTTTAAGTACAGTGGGGCCTTGACTTACAAATGTCCCGACTAACGAGTTTTTTGAGATACCAGCTGTCTCTCAGCCAATTTTTTGCTTTGAGTTGACAGAGTAATTTGAGTTAACGAGCTCCTTAACGAGCTCCACTGTAGTAGAATCAAAGTTACTTAGACCTCAACCCAATGTCCCTTCATCAGTTACAACTGTAATTTCTCTAAAAGGGCACATGTGATTCTTATGTACCCATGTGGATTATAATATACCAGAGGCCCGATTATAATATACTAGTAGGCCTTCCTTTTTCTGGCTGCCAGCACCAGCTTCCTTCTGGCACCCAGGAGCCGGGCTTCCCTCCGGTCACAGGCAGGCATCTGGGACCCGGGCTTTCCTCGCAGCCTCAGCTTCATCCAGAAGATCCTCCGAATGATGTCCGGAAGGACGTCCGGTCTAATTAGCATATTACACTTTTATTATTATATATGTATTGTTAGGTGTAACTTCTGGTATTTTAAAAATCACTTTCAAAGTATCTATCTTGAAACAACATTTTTATACATTTATTTTGGTAATGTAAAATATGTAATAACCACATTGCAAAAAATTCATAGTAAAGGGTTGAAAAAATAAGATCTGTAAACCCTCTCTCTAATTTTAACATTAGTACTATGAGCTATTTCTTTCCAGGCTTTTTTCTTGTGTGTAGATTTTACATTGTTGTAAGCAGACATTTCAAAACCAGTATCTTTAAGGGAATATAAATTTAGATGTATCAAAAAGCTAATGAGGAAAAATTTTATACCAATTCATTAATTACTAGAATTCTAACTTTCTCATGTATTATTCCTTTTAGTACAATATTGTTTTTGAGTTGTAAATAGAGGAGTGCTAATTAAATGATTGCCATTATCATTTGTTAGAAATGCAGTATTTAAATTGTGTAATACCGTAGTTCTGAAGGATCCTTACCATTGCCTTCTCTTTTGAGACCCCTACTAGTGGAAGAAAGGAGATTTCTGAGTGACTCTTGTTAGGGATCTCTGAGTACCTTCTTCAGGATGACTTAGACACCCAGTCGTGTTAGTTACATTAAAATATTAGACAGGTTTGTGCACATGCACATATACACACATCGAACTGCAAAAATGCTAATATCACTTTACAAGAAGTATATTAAAATCTCAGGGTGTGTTCTGCATTCAGAGAACACCATTCGCGTCCTTGAGATAACCACAAATTGTCACAGGTTTTTATTTTTTATTCTTACTTGTTCCCAGAAGCCATTTTATCTGTTATGAGGATACCTTTTTTACACTCTGTACCAATGAGTGATATTTACTCTTAGAGTAGGGTGGGGAACCTTTTTCTGTCAACGGCCATTTGGATTTTTATAACATCATTTGAGGGCCATACAGAATTCGCCTGCTACATTTGTTCAAACATTTCATTAACTCACCTCTAATGCCGTGGCAGGGCCAAGACCGAATGACTTCCCAGGCCTTATTTGGCCTCCAGGCTGGGCATTCCCCACCCCTGCCTTACAGGCTGAGAACTTGTTCCCTTGACTATTAGAAATTATTGGAATGAATGATGAGATAGAGAAGACATGTAAAGGAGTTAAGATGCAGTTGAAGGGATTTGCGGTAGAAAGCCTGTGCTTCAATCTGGACCCTGCCACTTAGGGATCTGTAATGGGGACAGTAATCCCACTTGACATTACAGGGTAGCTGTGATAGAATGTCTTAGGTCTGTGGTTGGCAAACTGCGGCTCGCGCGCCACATGCGGCTTTTTGGCCCCTTGAGTGTGGCTCTTCCTAAGCCTTAGGAGTGCCCTAATTAAGTTAATAATAATGTACCTACCTATATAGTTTAACTTTAAAAAATTTGGCTCTCAAAAGAAATTCCAATTGTTGTACTGTTGATATTTGGCTCTGTTGACTAATGAGTTTGCTGACCACTGTTTTAGGTGAACGTAACTTCTAAATTGTAAAGCCCAGTATATGTTATTGTTACTATTAATCCTCACCCAAGGATATTTTTTTCTATTAATTTTTTTAGAGAGAGTGGAAGGGAGGGAGAGACAGAGACACACACACACACACACACATTGATTGGTTGTCTCCCCTATGCACCCGGACTGGGGCCTGGGATCAAGCCTAAAACCAAGGTATGTGTCCTTGAACAGAATCAAACCTGTGACCTTTGGGCCGATGCTCTAACCACAGCCAAACTAGCTAGGGCAAGCCCAGTATATATATTTTTTTCGCCCATTGCATCTTTTAAAAATATATATTTTTTATTGATTTCAGAGAGATAGGGAAAGGGAGAGTGAGAAACATCAATGATGAATCATGGTTATTTGCCTCCTGCATGCACCCTACTGGGGATTGAGCCTGCAACCCAGGCATGTGCTCTGACTGGGAATCGAACTGTGACCTCCTGGTCCATAGGTTGACACTCAACTACTGAGCCACACCAGCTGGGCTAGCTCAGTATATGTTTTGATGCTAGTACTTCTCAGACTAGGTAGGAAGAATATTCTTAAGTTAAACCACAGTAAGGGTCTTAAGAAACAAGTAGCCTAGTTGTGAAACTGTTCCTTTTTCTTTCCAGTCTTCAAGCAGTGACAGTGGCGGGAGCAGCAGCAGCAGCAGCAGCAGCATCAACAGCCCGGACAGGGCCAGTGGGCCAGAAAGTAGCTTGAACCACATCGTCACCGGGTCCAGCCCCAACACCCCTCAGCCCGCACCTGAGCAGTCTGCACTATGCCAAGGCCTTTACTTCCACATCAACCAGACCCTGAAGGAGGCCCACTTTCATAGCCTACAGCACCGAGGCCGGCCTCCAACATGATGGGCTGGTGGTTTCTTGCCTTCTGTGAAGGGACAGCGCTGTGCAGATTTGATATTTCATCTTACGATGTTTTAAAAAATTGCACAAAAAATGCCTGTTGGCTTTCCACTCTATATTTGAAATAACAGGTTAACAGGCAGTTGTTTACTTGTGGTTTTGCTGCACTATTGCAATTTTAAAGGGGCTTTGAAGCAATTTTTTATAGGATTCTTTTGAGGGTGGGTATCAAATCCATGTCAAGGTAATGGTATGAGGAAATCTCATCTGCGTGTTGAGTCCATAGTTTGTCCAATTCAGATTGATTTCCAAATCTGTCAATTAGAAATTCTACTTTATGTAAAAAGGCCTTTTAAAAATGCGGGATCTTCAATTTTTTAAATTCAATAAACTAGTAAAGAGTATGTAGTTTCCATGAAGAAACATACGTTTTTTCCAAAATATAGACCTTGATCAGTCTTGCACTGAAATTGCCATACTACCTCTTAGTATGTAGCTGTGCGGTTGGAAATGCTCTCCTTTGTAACAGAGTCAGTCCAGGTGAGGCTGTGTATGCGAAGCACCCTCCCCAGTGACTGTCTCCTCTCTGTTGTGTATTTGTATTTCCAAGAGAATGTCTTTCAGGTTCTTGTATATGCAGATAATTGTCACCTTATTGCTCAGAGCCTACATCTCCGATTGGGTAGAAAACATTGCAGTTCCGACAGTCAAGAAATATGTAATGATTTTTTGTCTTACATACTTGTTCTCTCGGCAGCTTACGTGATCTCACTGATAATTCTACCCTGTAGTGTCGAGAATTGCAGCGTTGTTGAATGCTGACAGTGTAAGCTATTGGAACTGATGTCTGAAGTCACAGGGCTGTGAGTCTGTTGGCCAAGGATTCCCTTTAGAATTGAAGTGACCCCATTAACAGTAACTAGGGGCTGCATTCCACCAGTGAGACTGGACAGACTAGTGTGGCTTAGAAACAGATGAGCAGAGGCACCGTTAGTAGAAATGATGCAGTAGTATTTATTTAGAGAGTGATGGCCATGTCCCATGTTACTTAGTCATACTAGAGAGCCAACCAAGTTTGAATAAGGAAGGCGTAGCGTCTTCGTCCTCACTGACAAACTGTCTGAATAAGGAGCCGGGATGCGTCGGGTCGTCTGCTCGGGAGAGTGCCGGGGGGACAACCTGCCATGGCATGGAGAGGAAAGTGCCTTAGAGTCCACCCAGATCCTCCTGCCTGCTCACCCTCCGCCCCGCCCCGCCCCACCCCTCCCCACTCGGAGTGCACACAGCACACAGACCTGAGAAGCACGGGCAGCTCTAGTTCAGGGGACTGAAGAGGACATGGGACGACTAAACTTTGCAGATGGAACTACTGTAGGAAAGGGTAAATCTACACCTTTCCGTGGTGGTTCCTCTACTATGGACAGAATGTAAAGGTCAGTTACTTGAAGTAGGAATTTAGAATTGGGGAGGGAAGTTACTGCACAGGCCACTGCTTACGGAGTAGATGGTTTGTGCAAGAATTTTTTTTTACTACCATCTCTCAAGTTTTAAAACCAGATGTTTGACAAGGATTTTGGATCTTAATGGGTTTGTGGCAGGGAATGTGGAAAGGATTCATTGCTATTGTTTTGTCTAGCAATAAAGTAAACAACTAAATGCTATAAGAAGCCAGCATTTGAGCTCTCAAACACACATGTATACAACACAATGCAGAAATACCCAGGACTCCTCCTGCAGGCTAATGGATGGCAACCTCCTGAAACAAAACGTGTATTAACAAGAAAATGTAAAACTCAAGAAGGCAAATTTCCTTTTTATTTACCACCCAAGTAAAAGAAATGGAAGATGAAACCATCACCAAAACCAACCTTTTCTTCCCAAACAAGTATAACGATAGTGCTGGGTTAGCAGTTCACTCTCTTATCCTACAAAACCCAAGAACAACCTCTTTCCTGTCCTGCAGATCTCCAGCCTCGGCAGCCTGAGATCTGTTTCTATATGAGGCTACTTGATAGTGTAAATGAGCACCTTTTAAACCTCTCAGCTCAAGCTAGTAAAACCTGTACTTCTATATTGCGCCGCCATTAAAAGCAGCATTAGTGCATTTTGTCATCCAGTTCTTTATCGATTCTTTAAGGGGAGCCGATTGGGTGGTTTGGTGGGAAATGGGACAGGATCCATAGGGATGAACCTTTTGATTTCTGCACTAACCTGGGCTTTGGATTCGATGCTTCTGCTGGTTGATTTGGCCTTTCGAGTGCTTGTCATGCTGAGTGGAAGAAGTCCAAACCTCCAAGACAAGATGAAGGCATTTCAGTGGCATGAACAGGAAGCTGGGGGCCAGCAGAAGCCTGGTGGGATCGTTACCTGATCTGGCTCGATGCCAGCGGCAGTATGTTATGGGGTTCTTGCGAGTTGAATGTGCTGCTCCTGGGGGTGAACTGATTCTCTGTACCAGTAACCAGTCCAAATAGAACCTGATAGACAAGAAGGGGGTACAGAAACACGGTGGGTTTATTGGCCAGTTTAAGCTGCTTCTGTCAGTAATCAGTCACTTTGTGATCACCATCATTTTGGGGAATGTTCTTTTCAGTGTGTGAATGCTTAAAAATTACCACCTGTCAGAGTCTCAGTCACATGGCTCTTTTATTCCTTTCTGAGGCCTGGATAAAACCTGAATAATCCTTATCTACCGTGAATGGGGTCAGATCTCAGCAGTGAGATCTTACCTAATCCTCTTTCAGTCTTCATAACTCACCTCAGCTTGCGTCCTGCCCCGCCCCACACCCTCCTCCCCAGCACTGCCTCCAGGAGCGATAGCACTAGAGCGGGTTTATCTTTCACAGGGACTGGCTTACAGAAGTTCGCTGCACCAGGCGTGTGAGGTTGCTGTTGAGGTGTGGTGTGAACACATCCAGGTCAAAGGGATCAATGAGTGCTTCCAAGTAGTCAGTCACTTTCTCAATTCTGAAAAAAAGGATAAGGATTAGGATGATGAGTCTCGTTTTTAGGACAAAAACCCATTTTCTGGTACTTGAATGCTATGGAAATCCTGGAGCTGGATTTATTCTTAATTGCTGGCTCAGCATCACTTGTTACTAATTGTTGTGCTTAATAATCCTCAAGAGTTTTGAGCTGATGGGATGTCTAAGTCAAGTCCATTTTTCCCATGCTGTGTTTAGGGAGGGCACTGGAGGCTCCAATTATACCCAGCAGTTGGTAGGCTGACTGGAGAAGAGGAATGAGATCCTACTTACTCCGCCTGGAGGTGGAATGTATCCAGCAGCTGGTCAGTATTTATCTTGCTGGCAACAGGAGCTTCCTGTCTAAAACGAGCACAGCTACTGTGCAGCACGGCTGGCTGGTGGCTCCCCGGGAAAGGGGCTTCTTGCATTGGGCAGAGGCTGTATTGGGAGAGCTGGGGTGAGGCTACCTGGAGTCATGTTTGCTGCGGCCACTTTTCACCTCTTCACCCTTGGCTGTGAGCACAGTGCTGAGGTACCGCAGGTCGTAAAGCAGCTGCAGCGCCCGGTTCTGGGTCATTGGAAATGCACCTTCTCTCTGCAAACGAATGCCCCGCCCATTAAAGGAGATGACTTCTATGCACATAATAAACAGCGTCACGGGTTGGTTGAGTCCCAGCTTATTTCAGAAGCAGATGTTTTTTCCATTCATACCACTTTAATCTCACAACAAAACAAGTTAGAAACTTGGTCTTAAAACCCAACCGCAGGGAGGACCCAGCCCTTATGAAAGGTCTCAGGTGCTGGAGATGGTCATTTTAAAGGGAAAACGCCCCTTGCATGAAGGAGAGGCCTTGTGAGCAAGCTCAGGAGAGAAGGCTTACCTGAGTTCTTCCCAAATTGGGAGGTGGGCCTGTCTTAAAATGTTACTAATGAAGTGGGAATATGCCACGAGGGCAGAATGCTTCCCAGACCATGGGGGAGAGGGGAGGGGGGGGGCAGGGACTCTTAAATACCTCGTGTGCCACGGCTGTGCTCTGTCATCCTCCCAACTTCCTCCCAGCCCCAGAGAAGTTTAGTTTAAGAGGCCACATTTGATCCTGAGGAAACTGAGACGTAAATGATTCGCCCCAAACCCCGGTGTGTGACCGTGCCTGGTCAGGAGGGGTCTTTGTTACTCTGAGGCCTTCCTCCTCCCACTGTACTGACTGCCTTTTTATGAAGACCTGCCTGACCCCTGAGGACGGTGTAATTAAACTCGCAGCCACTACGAACTCGATAGCCTGGGCTCAGCGACCCTCAGCACCCAGAGTCCTTGCTGTGCGCTGCCCAGAGCCCAGAGAAAGCTAAGGTTTATTTCATTGTTTAATGGAGAAAACTTCAAACACCTACCTTCATCTCTTTTCCTTCTGAGAGTTTCTCATAGGCAGCTACTACTTGAGCCACACAGTTTTTCAGCATCTCCTGCAGCGTCACCTTGGGCAAGGCATGGCCTCCAACCCGATTAATTTCCTGGCACAAGCCGAACAGGAAGGACTGCACATACCAGGACGGCTGGAAGAACAAAGGAGCACCGAGTCGCCAACTTGCACCGATTAAATGAGGCGCAGTAAATATGGGTCCATCTTGCATCGATTAAATGAGACGCAGTAAATACAGGTCCATCTATCCTGGCTTCACACCAAGACCTTGACCTCTCCAATCAGCCCCTCTCACAGCCCAGCTAACAGATCCGAGTGACACTGGCTGTCATTCCCTCAGTGGCACCTTTTTACGCTGCTGTTTTCACTAAAGGGTAAGTGGTTCTCTAATGAGCAGAGCCCGGGCTACAAAAGGGAAGAATCATAACGGACTCTGGAGCAGTCTATCTACTTGGCCCCATGGCCACTGGCCTCCCCCACCCCCAGAGAAAGTTGCAACTATTACTTGCAGCTCACCCTCAGCAGCTGACCATTAGTGATTTTCTAAGCTCTGTCCTTTCCTCAGAGCAGGTCTCAGTCCGGCTCCGACAGGGGCCCTGGCTTACCTGGACAGGGAGTCGGATCTTGGATGTGATGCTGCTGCCAGACTCCGCTTCCTCCTGAATTTCCAGTTCATCCCAGCTGGTGGCCGTGGCCAGGACTGAGCCAGCATCATCTAAAAGTAATGACTGGGCAAATCCATGAGCTAACACCTGGTGATAAAAGGCAGATGCCCAGAGAGGCCACTCAGATCCTGCAGAGTTTGTTTCAGACTCTAGAGCTTCTGCTGCTTAGGTCACGTGGGGTGGCAGGTGGCAAACGTCACTCTTCTCTTGGCTAATTATTGGTATCGGCAAAGGGAATGTTGTTGCTAACTACTCTGAGAGTGTCAGCTCTTAAGACAACAGCAGAGACTATAGAGAACATATTTAGGGTGCAGAGCAGGAAATATAGATCCTTATCCAGAGAGAGGGTCTTTCTCATTAGATGGAAGGGAAAAACCACCAGGGTTTCTGTTTAAGTCCAGACAGAAATGAATGGAAGAGGTTTGACATTTGCTCTGTGTGGCAGAGAAAAGTGAAGTAAGTAACTGTATGGAATACGAATTGTTATTCCCTTTCTGTTAAAAGATCAAGGTTGGCAAGACTGGATTATAGTGAAAGGGAGACGGTGAGGATGAGGGGGGAGTGAGACATGTGCGTGGCCTCGCTACTCACTTGCACCACCGCTGAGCTCCAGACCCGGTAGCTCATCACACTCTGCTGCAGGAGGAGCTCCTTAACTTCCTGCCACTGGGCCTGCGTAGGTAGGACTTTCTCCGTTTTCCCCTTTCCTTGTTTTTTCAGAGCCCTGGAATCCCTGGCTGGTTTCTCAGAGCTCCCAGACTTTCCCAGGATGCACTGCTTCAGGTGAGGACACAGTTCTCCCAGGGACTGGCAGAGCCTGGCCATGAAAAGGACCGCATGCAGCTTGTCACGGCCCAGGGCACTCTGCGGGCCTCGCACAGCTTCCTCGATGCTCTGCAGCTCTGCCCGGACGCAGTCCGTGATGTGCTTGATGCAGGCCACCGAGTGAGTCCGCAGCATCTCCTGCACAGTCCCGGCGTCTGCGTACCTGTCAAAGGCACAGTTCTTGGCTTGCAGGGGGGTGACCTCCTTGGGCAGTGACGAGTCGTCAGAGGGAAGGTAAGCCAGGAGGTCATCCAGTTTCACCTTCAGTTTAGCATCTAGAGCAGCGCAGAAGTTCTGCACACAAGGGCTGACAGCTTGAGCTTTCATGGAGAGCCCACTGCCGCCAAACGGGCCCCGGCTCGCCACGCTGACCCAGGCGGCATCGGGAGGCAGGTCACCGGGACTCTCGGACCACAGGAAGAGAGACATGTTGTGCTCAAAGTGGATGTGCTTGTTGGAAGCGGACTTGCTGGTGCTGCTCTCGAGCTCCTGCAAGGCGGAGGTGAGGAGCTGCCTGGAGCTCATGGAGATGGAGTCAAAGCCCTCTTTTGTCAGCGTCTAAAACAGAATGAGAAAAGCAATTCCTTTCAGAAATCTCAAAACAAGAGGACCACGTGGCAGTCCATCCAGTGTTCCGAATGTTCTCCACCAGCCTCAGATGACATGACGCTGGCAGAGGACAAAGTCATCGCTGATGGACACAGGCACGTTCCCGACCGCCTGACAGAGGCCTGGGCTCTTCCAGCACCGAGTTGGGATCTCTGTGCAGATCCAGAAGAGACTCCCCTTCCCCCCCGGAAGGCATGCTGGGACTCCCTGGGGTAAGTCCACAGGGAAAGAACACACTGAGGACACGTCAGGACTCAACCCAGACAGTCACAGATCACACTAGGACTGGCTTAAACCGACTGCCCACGGGACTGCCACAGGACTGCCCACGGTACCTGTAATCGGTCAAGGAACAGCTGCTGCATCAAATCCTCCCACAACGAGAGGGGCTTCTCCAGAAGCCGCCGGCACACCACGTCCCAGCTGCGGCTGGTGGACTCGTTGGTCAGTAGTTCCCACACGGCATCCCGGATCCCCGCCAGGCCTTTCATGCTCTTCACGAACATGAGCAGGCCGGTGATCCCGTTTTTAATGTCTTCCTTGCACCTGCAACACAATCATTTTCCTTAGGCCTCATTGGATTCGTGATTCCACACCTTTATTAAGAGCAAGAGCAGGCCTCCATTTGAAAACCTCCAATTACATAAATGTACTTCTCTCAGAGCAGTTACAAATACACATGAACACAGCGTTTCGGGCTGGATGGGGGGAGAGCCTGTGGCCCTTTCACCAGGCCTACCCTTGCTTCTCTGAGGCATCTGGAAGGAAGTCGAGAGCCCTACAGAGTGTCTTCAAAAACTAAATAAAAGTTTAGGGTGACAGGACTCTTACATAAAGAGAATTTAAAATCCTCTACGTAGTCTTTTGAAAGACAGATTCCTTCTTGGTTCCCCACAGTAGGGGGTATCCTTCCATGAAGCTGGCGACAGGTGGCTGAGTGAGGTGCCGACATGACCTAGTGAGCGGTGTGCAGAGCATCATCCAGGAGGTCAGGCTGGTCCCTCACTCATCACTGGCCCTATGGCCACACACGAGGCTGCCAGGGTGGTGCCCGCCGGCCTCGGGAAAGCTCTGGCTACTCACATGTGGATCCACTTCTGCAGCGTGTCGGTTAGGTACTCCTGGCTGATGGGATGTGCGAGGGTCCGCAGAGCCGGCCGGAACTCGACAATGGATGCCGGCAGGTGCTTGAACCAGCTGCAGAGCTTCATCTCTTCTTGGAGAACGCCGATGCCCTTTTCTAAAGAGAAGGCCAAGTGAGAAGGAACCGGGCCATCCTCTGAACAGCATATTAAAAAAATGGATCTACAAGGAATTTCCACAGACTATCTAGTCTTCCTCTGGGCAGGGCAGACTGGAGCCCTGGCAAAGGCGGGGAAAGGGAAGTACAGTATATGTCCAGGGCTTCCGTCATCAGGGAGCTGGCAGCTTCCCTCCAACTCCGGTCATCCTATTGGCTGAGAAGGCAAGGAAAGCGAGGAATGGAATGGGGAAGAGAGAGAAGTACTGGGTGCTGTGCAGCCCTCGACATTTGCAAAGTAGAACTTAAGTTGTCTAAAAGGTATGTTTACTCTTTCTCACCATCCTCCAACCTCCCTTGAAGATCTGAGGGAAGAAATGATGGCCACTCATCCTGATCAGTGAGTTGCAGCTCTTCAGAGGTGACCGCTCCCTCCAGCAGGGCATAGGCCCACGCTGTGCAACTCTGGGAGGCCCACTCATGCCTCAGGGCCTTTGCACATCCTCTTCCCTTTGTCTGGCACTCTTTTCCTTGCCTTCTTCACCTAAGTCTTATTCAGCTTTTAGGTTTCAGTTTAAATATCACTTCTCCAGTGCAAGTAACATTGGTGAGGTCCCTCATGTCAGTGCTCCCAAGCCAACTTGTACTTCACATCCAATACTGATATGAAACAGGTATGTGTGTATTTGGGTTCAAAATCTGCCTCTACCACTAGACTGTTACCTTTACAAAGGTGGGTTCCATATTTGTCCAGCTCACTGCTGTATCCCCAGAGCCTAGCATAGTAGATGGCAGATGCTCAATAAACATCATTTGAATGAACCAGAAGATAAAGAAAGGTTGGCTACGAGCTTACCAGTAGGATGCTGGCCTGTGATGGTCTCCAGAGTTGAGAAGAGCAAGCCACATGGCAGGGATGGGTCTGGCAGCAGCCCTTCCGGTAAAGTGTAGAAAAGAGCATGCGCTTGGTTCAAAGTGGTGGCCAGCAACTCCACTAATGAGCAAATCTGAGCCTTGACCCCAGCACCTACGAGAAGAAACCATCCTCTTCAACACTCTCCTTTAGTCGAGTGAGTAACAGAAAATGCTCTGGATGCTTCAGTCTCCCTCAGCTCATCCTTCCCCATTCCCGTGGTACCCACCGTGGTGCGGCTGGTTGAGAAGCTTCTGAATAGCTGCCTTTCTGGCCAACAGGAAGTCTGCCAGGGCTTGGCGAGGAGAACTCTCCTCTAGGAGCATTATAGAGCACAGGGCCTCTGCCACTGCTTGGTCCGACGCAGCCTGGCATTTGAGCAGCATCTTGCTTTCATGCAGAATGGTTGACCTAGAAAGATGACAAAGGTCACCAGTGAACTTTACACATCTTGAGACAAGAGCCTCGGTGCCCCAGGAAAGAAGACGTCCTCCACAAAGCTGTAGCGGTGAAGCGCAGCCCGCACCAGAGATCTTCATGCTGGACCCACCTACCGGAAGTGGCTGGCCGCTGCCACCTGCCGGATGAGTATGGGGAAGCGGGAGAGGACAGGGCTGTATCGGGAGCCGGAAGAATCCAGCTGGAGCAGGCTGTGCAGGTGGCAGCAGAGCAGGTACAGCTGTGCGGCGTGGAGGTACTGGGAGGCTTCCATCGAGCTCCAGATCTTCTCAGGGATTTCTAAGAGGAGCTTGATCTGGGCAGCCATGCTGTAGAACTTCTCCCGGGCCGGCTGTGGCTACAGGGAAAGGCACAGGGTCAGAGGAACAAATGAAAGCAGGGGCGGTGTTCTGCAGGCTGCAGTGTGGGGGCACTTTAGGGTTCACAGCTTTCAACGAGCTTGATGCAGCGCCCTTCAGCAAGGCATCAAAGCGCAGTGCGGTGGAATCCTGGAGTGGGGAGTGCTGTGCAACCCCACCGGTTTCTCCTGCCTGTGGCGTGCCACCTTGCTCAGGCCCAGGGAGAGGCACACTGACTCTGGTCATCTCACAGTCTGGTTACCACTGCTCCCGTGATGTCTCAACAGCACGGAGCCCTATGGACCCCTCTAGAGTGCACTTCTCCTTCCCTTTTCAGGTGTTCAGCCTTCCTACACCTCCTGCTTCTTCAAGTGCATCATGGACTTCCTAGCTGGCTGTTCTAGTCACCAGCCCTCCACCCAATCTTCACTTGTCTCGGTCCTCGTGCCTCCACTCCTGTCAGTCTTGTCCTTTTACTTCAGCAGACTCTTCCCTCAAGCATCACCTCTAAGCAGACCACTACTGCCACGTCTTTATCTTTAGTCCTCTCACTCCTCTGAAGCTCAGTCCAGCCTTTTGTGCTGCTGCCTGGTATGTGTCACCACCCTTCCATTGTCAGCATCCTTAAAACTACATTCATCTCCCTAACAACCATCTTGGCCATCTCCTTATCTATCTTAGCACACATCACACTCTACTGTTAACTTCCCAGGAAGTTCATGTCCTTCTAATGGGCTCTCTTGATATCTTGACCATGGAAGTTTCTGTTACACTTCCACAACTCTAATGCAGGTCATCATCATGTCACCTCACACGCAGATTAACCGAAAAACATTTAGCCTGTGCTGTGTCCATTCACTACTCCCCCAATCTAACCTTTTCCTTTGCTGTCAAGTTTACCTTCTTCAGCAGCTACTTAGACATTATCTTTGCTTGGTTCTAAAGGCTCCTCACTGCTTCGTATCAGCCTGGTGGTCAAGGGTTCCCATCCTCCACTACTTTCTTCCAGGGGCCCTGGAGTCCGTTGGTTTGCACGTGTGGGGCAGAGGGGTGATTTCATCTCCCAGGGAACATCTGGCAGTATCTGGAGACATCTGTGATGATCACAGTGGGGGAGAGGGAGGGTGCTACCGGCATCTAACAGATGGAGGTCAGGAATGCTTCCACACATCCACAGGACAGCCACTCCCACAAAGAATGACCCGGCCCCAAATGTCAACAGCACAAGGGTGAGGAACCCTGCTTTCATTCAATTCATTAGCAGCTTTAATTGTCTTTATATATTTCAGACCCACAGTCCCAGCCTCCTCTGTCCTTAAGGCCCCTCTTTGCTGAGGAGGAAGGACGAGTCTGAAACGACTTCCTTTTGAATTCTTATGGTAAATGTGCACCATTATTTTGGGAACCGATCACCATATGCTAAAATGTTTTCTACTGCGATTGTACATTGTTTACATTTTTCTTATAGATTGTAAGCTCTGTCAGAGCAGGAACTGGGGGACTTCCATTTCTTTGTGCCTTAAAGAAAGGCAACATTTGGTGGGTTTAAGTCAGATATAGCAACTATAAAAATAAATACATTTCTAAAAGCAAGCAAGAGTACATTAATTTACTAATAAACCTTGAAGCATGACTCAGTTGTAACAAAGGCTGGCCACGTAGGGAGGGACATGTACTCGTGTACAGCTTACAGAGGAATGAGGTCACTCATTTCAAAAAAACAGCTATTTCCAACCCATTTTCTTAACATTTTTTTTATTACTGATTTCAGAGAGAGGAAGGGAGAGAGGGATAGAAACATCAATGATGAGAAAGAATCATTGATCAGCAGCCTCCTGCACGCCTCTACTGCGGGTTGAGCCTGCAACCCAGGCATGGGCCCTGACCCAGAATTAAACAGAATCCCATGGTGACCTCCTGGTTCAGGGGTCGGCGCTCAACCACTGAGCTACACCGGCCCGCCCCAGCCTTCTATTGTGTGAGCCCAGCCTACTGACCTGACTTCCTCTAAAACCCGGGTTATATTAAAAACTTCCAACATGGAGCTCCATGGTACTTTGGCAGTTTCTCCTTGCATGTCGCTGTAAGGTTCTCCTCCCAGGTTTTTAAGGACAAATTTCTCGTTTACCTTTCTCGCCCTCCCGCCCTTTTCTTTTCAAGCTGTCGCTGTCCCTAAGTCAGCACTGTCCTCCAAACACAGAACACAACACGCTGCTCCAACCTGAGGGTGTGCTCGGGGGCTGCGTCCTTCCACCGCAGGTCTAATTAGCGGTCGGAGGAGGGAGCGCTGGGGCTCACCGGGTGGGAATGACCTGAGCGCACTGACGGGAATGTGCCGCCGTTACAGGGGGCGGCCTGATGCCGGAGTCCGGGACGGCCCTCCAGCAACGGGTGGCCTCGCTACTTGGGGGCTGGGTGGGGAAGGCTGGTATGAGCAATGAACTGCAATGAACGGCTGGCGGGACGATGTCAACGTGAGAAACCTGTGCTAAGAAGAACGTCAGGAAACGTCAGGGAGAAAGCCGCGCTGTCAGGCGAGGGAGACCCCTGGCGTTTCCCGCTAACGTCGGGCTGGGAGCCCGTGGAACCCACGAGGGGGTGAGGGCTTCCCGGTCGGAAGTCGG